TGATTCTTCTCTTATTTTCTTCTTGTCGTACTTCTGAAAAAACTTCTCGGATAGAGGGCAGGGGTTTTCGACCAAGAATCCTTCCCTTTACCTCATCTAGACTTCGATTAACTCCTGGAAGAAACATGTAGACACAATCATTCTCTTCACGCTTCATATACCTTGCACAATCATTCGGATTCTCCCATTCATCATCATAGCATTGATCCAATTCCTGCCAAAGGGCTACCATCTCATTGTAGTATACTGTGATCTCACGGTCTCCTTGTTTGGATTGCCACAGTTTTGATTTCAATTCAAAGATCTGTGAAGAATTTTCCAAATCAGAGTAGGTCTGCCGAATTGAATCCCACACAGCCTTGGCGGTTGGTAGGAACATGTTGGGTTTTGCAATTGCTGTTTCCATGGTGTTTAGTAACCATGCTGTCACCAAAGAATTTTTTGACCTCCATCTTTTAAAGCCAGAATCTTTCTCCTGAGGTTGTTTTTCTTCCCCGGTAAGAAACCCTAATTTTCCTCTGCCATCAAGCACAAGCCACCGATTGGGACCACTCAAGGTAGTTTTTCCCATTAAATTTTGGAATGGAAATCTGTAGAGATGTACCGGTTGTTATACTGTCAACACCGGTAACAGGGGAGCTATCTAGGCTGTTTTCGGAGGTTACCTCAGATGAGGTTTGGGCTCTGTTTACGCCTGTCATGGCTGTTTTTGCCATTCTGCCCTAAGATTAGAACCCTAAGGCTCTAATACCATGTAGGTTTTGAAGGGAAAAACTTACTTTTTTCTCTTATTATTATTAGTGTAACGTAAACCTAATTTATAGGATACCAAGTACCCTTGACAGCTCATAGAAATTCAAATAAGCTCTTATCTTATCTAAATCTATCTAGATCCGGTGTTTATCTAGAAAAACCGGAATTCCCTATCTCCTAGGATCCTAATCCCAAACTAAGGGATTTGGCTCTTTAATTCAAAAACTGAAAAGATAAAATCTTCTAATTTCCTACAAAAACCATACCATCACTGCCTTTGAAATCTGTCCTTCACGTTCCTAAATTGTCTTTTAATTTGCTGTCTATTCAAAAGCTCACATATGAGCTGAACTGTTCTATAACATTTTATCCTACACATTGTGTATTTCAGGATCGGACCACGGGGAAGATGATTGGGCGTGCTAAGGAACATGAGGGACTTTACTATCTAGGCACGAGTGATGGTGGCAATAAAAACGGTTATATTCCTCAGTCTTACACATCTGAAAATCAATCTGCAAGAAGAGCTTAGATTTGGCTCCATCATGTTCAAATGGGTCATCCATCTTTTTCACTATTAAAAACTATGTTTCCTTTGCTGTTTCAGAAAATAAATGTCAATGAGTTTCATTGTGAAGTGTGTCAAATGGCCAAGCACCATAGAATTTCCGATCCTTTGAATAATTTAAGATCATCTGAACCTTTTTCTTTAGTCCATACAGATGTTTGGGGACCATCTAGAATTTCAAATATTAATGGGGCTCGTTGGTTTGTTTCCTTTATAGATGATTACTCTCGAACTACTTGGCTTTTCTTGATTAAAAATAAATCCGATGTGAGTGTTATTTTTCCCATATTTCATAAAATGATTCTTACACAATTTGGGATTTACATTAAGTATATTCGTTCTGATAATGAGAGAGAATACTTTAATCAAGTGATGTCACCGTTCCTTCAAACACATGGCATAATTCATGAGTCTTCTTGTGTCGACACCCCAGAACAGAATGGGGTTGCAGAAAGGAAAAATCGCCATCTTCTAGAGGTTACTCGTGCTCTATTGTTTGAGAAAAATGTTCCTAAATTTTATTGGGGGGAAGCCGTTTTAACAGCCACGTATCTCATTAATCGATTACCCAATAGAGTATTACAAAACAGGTCTCCCATTGACGTATTGTTAGAATCATTTCCTCATATAAAACACTCACAACTTCCCTTACGAATTTTTGGTTGCATTGCCTATGTTCACATTCAGCAAAAAGACCGAAATAGTAAACTTGATCCAAGAGCCTTAAAGTCAATTTTCTTAGGATATTCCTCAACACAGAAAGGGTATAAGTGTTATCACCCAAATACTAGGAAAATCTACATATCAAAAGATGTCACTTTCGCTGAAAATCAAGGGTTCTATGATCAAACTTGTCTTTTGAGGAGTCTTGGTTAGAAGACAATTCAGACTTAAGTTTTCTCACTTTTGATCTTAGCTCAAGTCCTACCCGAGAAACAATCTCAAACCCTCCAAATAATTCAACCCCTCTTCTCAATCCAGACTGAGATCCTCCAGCCCAAGATCCTTTTGTCAGTCCAAGTCGTGATCATTCTAGTTCAAGTCCTACGCATGAAAATCTAAACACAAGTCTAGTCCATTCTTATCAAGTAAATAACCATCCAATGTCTCCATTGCAAGTGTACTTGAGAAGGAAGCCTAATCTTGAACCGGTGATGGCCCAACCATCAGAACCCGTGCAAGATCAAGCTACAAAAGCAAGTAACAAAACTGATCCCTTACCACAAGAATTCCATGATCTTTATCTGCCTATTGCACTCAGAAAAGGAACACGAAAATGCACACAACATCCTATAGTCAATTTCATCACATTTACCAATCTTTCTCCATCACATAGAGCCTTTCTCACCGAGTTAAATGCTATTGAGATTCCAAAAACTGCTCAAGAAGCACTTAGAAGTAGGGAGTGGAAAAAAGCTATGATTGAGGAAATGAGAGCACTGGAAAAAAATAAAACTTGGGAAATTGTTGAGCTGCCTAAAGGAAAAAAATTAATTGGGTGCAAGTGGGTATTCACAGTAAAGTATAATGTAGATGGGACACTTGAGAGATATAAAGCCAAGCTTGTTGCCAAAGGCTATACCCAGACATATGGGGTAGACTATGTAGAAACGTTTGCACCCGTGGCAAAACTAAACACCATTCGGATATTATTATCCTTAGCAGCCAATCTTAATTGGACTTTACAGCAATTTGATGTGAAAAATACTTTTTTACATGGTGATTTAGAGAAGGAAGCCTATATGGAACCACCACCATTCAATCAAGCCTTTGGAACTAACAATGTGTGCATGTTATGAAAAGCCCTCTATGGGCTGAAACAGGTCTCCAAGGACATGGTTTGGAAGATTCACCAAAGCCATGGAAAGGATGAAGTTCAAACAGAGCTTGGGAGATCATACACTCTTCATCAAATGATCAAAGGAGGGGAAGATCACTGCCTTAATAGTCTACGTGGATGTTATCATTGTGACAGGAGATGATGTTGAAGAGATCAAGAAACTGAAAGACTATTTATCCAGAGAATTCGAGATAAAAGACCTAGGAAAGCTCAAGTACTTCCTAGGAATTGAAGTTGCACACTCAAAAACCGGGATGTTCATCTCTCAACAAAAATATATCTTAGATCTACTCAAGGAAACAAGTATGATGGGATGCAAGCCTTCAGAGATTCCTATTGATTATCATCACAAGTTAGGAGAAGCTGTAGATAGGCCAGAAGTTGACAAGGGAAGATATCAGAGGCTGATCGGGAAGTTCATTTATCTTGCTCATACAAGACCAGACATAGCCTATGCAATAAGTGTTCTAAGTTAGTTTATGCAGACACACCTACAAGCTGCATACAAAGTTCTTCAATACCTCAAGGCAAAGTTCTTCAATACCTTAAGGGCACTCCTGGAAAAGGAATCCTATTCACAAGAAATGGAAGGCTAAACTTAGAAGCATACACAGACGCAGATTGGGCCGGATCTCTTATTGACCGAAGATCCACCTCGGGGTACCGTACCTTTCTTGGAGGAAACCTCATAACTTGAAGAAGTAAGAAACAGTCAGTAGTCTCTAGATCAAGCGCCGAAGCTAAGTTTCGAGCAATGGCTCAAGGCATATGTGAGCTATTATGGATAAAAATTATTCTAGGAGACCTAGGAGTGAAATGGGAAGGCACTATGAAGCTGTTGTGACAACAAATCAGCTATCAATATCGCACACAATCCTATACAACATGATTGAACAAAGCATGTGGAAATCGATTGCCATTTCATCAAGGAAAAACTCGAGAATAGAGTTATTTGCACTCCTTATATTCCTACCAATAGGCAACTGGCAGACATTCTAACGAAGGGACTCCCTAATGCAGCGTTTCAAAGTATTACCAACAAAATGGGAATGGAAAACATACACTCAACAACTTGAGGAGGAGTGTTGACGAATTTGTCAAGATTCGTTGACTCAAATTATCAAGGAAATCATTCCTTGATTTGTCTCTGATTCTCAGGGAAATCATTCCCTGATTTGTGTAGTCAATGGTAGGATTCTTAGGGATAGTTTCCTGATTTATTGAGTCAATGCAAGCTGTAAGTGATAGGATAGTTAGCTGTCAATTTCAGAAAATAATTCCTTGATTCTTTTGTAATTAAGAATTTCCTAGTATAAGTTGTATACTAAAATATTATGTACTCTATAAATAGTTGTAAGGTTTTCCTCAATGAATATAATAAGAAAAACATACAGTAAGAACGCTTTTGTTCATATCATTTAACAACTGATCTCCCATTCGATTGTGTAGCCGAGTCTTCACAAAGTTCGTAGCAGAAAAAAAAAGAATTGGGCTTTATTAGGCTTATGTAGTCGGGTAAAATAATTGATTTTACAATATAAGTGGGGGCTTTATGGAAATTTCCGTTCATAGGCATGGTTATATATATATACTCATTAAAAAAAAAAAATTGTTTTTAGCCCCCCGGGCCAATGTTGTCTATGTGCCTGCGTTTAGTTTTGTTTCGTTATTACTAATTAAGAGCTATTTCATATTGCCTGCTTAAGTTCGTATAACATGTACCGATTATAATTTGTGAATATGACTTAATGGTAGAATTTTAAAAGTAAAGATTACTTTCCCACCGAAGGCTAGTATGTAGTACACCATAATACTTTTATACTACCCTTGATATTACAGTATGGAGGACATTGATTCAGCTTGTCAAGATGCTTGGAACGGGGTAACATCACGGAGACCTGTTATGGAGATGACAATTCCTTCGTCATTGGACAATACTATATCTCCACCTGGTATTGCGAACTCAATCATCCTAAAATCTTTATCCATCTATGCACCCGGCCACACATCTCAAGTTTTCATGAGAAAACAACACAAAATTGATGTAAAGATTATTAGGCATAAATAAACTACTTTAATAATTTTATACATATGGATTAAAGGTTGCAAAAAATGGCCAACTAGGCTATTGCGAGTTGATCTTTTTCTTGACTTGCTTGTTGATCACTATTTTCCGAAATACTAGTTGACTACGCTTGAAATGACTGACTCGTGCACTTTCCTTTTAGGTAAGCATGTGGTCGGCTTGTTTACACAATACACACCATTTAAACCCTCAGATGGAAGCTGGGAAGATCCTGAATACAGGGTAATTAGCAACTACCATTGAAATTACATTGTGTGCCGAAACGCCATTAACATTCATATTAGCTATTCCATGGTATTTGCAGCGAGTGTAGAACATGACGTTGTACAATAACACTCCACATGGATCAGATTGACCCTCCTATCATTTTTAACAATAATTTCTTAGCATTAATTTCAAGCTAAGCTACATACATTGTGTGGTAACTCATCACTGTTTCTTCAGGATTCATTTGCACGTAGATGTTTTACTACAATTGACGAATATGCCCCTGGCTTCAGCTCATCAGTTATCGGCTATGACATGTTAACGCCACCGGATCTTGAAAGAGAATTTGGTTTGACAGGTACTGTGGTTGAGTTGCAGCATTAATAAAGGGAGAAATAATAAGTTAATTTGTGATTAGAGAAAGGGTGTTTGAGAGATATAGTTAGTAAATTAATAAAACAACTTACTAATAAAACAATATGTAAAACGGGCGCAATTGCAACAACTTTTCCCGTGAGTTAGATAGTTAGAGCAGGCGGTTGTTGTTTATACGACTCTTCCTACAAGTTAATGACAACGTGGATGGTTTGATGACAGTACCCTCGAGTCAAGTTAGTTGTTAGATAATAGAAGAGAAAAGAGAAAAATAAAAAACAACAACAACAACAACTTTTATTTTTAAAGGGTAATTGGCACCATTGGTCCCTGAACTCTTTCGTAGTTGACACTTTGGTCCCTCTCCTTTTAATTTTGAAAAACAACCCTTAAACTCTTAAAACAGTGGCAATTATACCATTTCCGTCCAAAACCATCAACTTTTTAACAAAAATAATCATGTGCAGTGCATGTGATCTAATTTTAGGAGGGCATTTTAGTAAAATAACAAAAGTTCATACTTTTTAACAAAAATTAAAATGAAAATTAAGAAGGAAAAAAGAAGCAAAACATGTCTATAAGAAACTATTCCTAAATATCTCCTTCTTGGGTTTCAATTTAGGTCTTCGATTCAATTCAATAATTGATCAGATCATTGAAAGCATTAAGAATAATATAAGAAACACATACATGCATGAAAAACTCTTAGTGAATAAACTTCATTAAAAGAAAATAACTAGAATCAAATATTTATGTCTTGGCTACACTTGTTGCCCTAGTTAAGAAATTTAGAACATCATGAAAATTAAAGACATGCTTATAATAAAATTCAACATAAGAAATGAGGCAAAAATAAAACTGTTTGTCGAATTTGAGTTGAACTCCATGCCCTGATGAGTCTTCTTCTCCTTCTTTGTGCCGTGTTCTCTCTCTCTTTTCTCCGTCAAAAGATCTTGAAAATAACCTTAAAAATCCTATTTATAGTGTTTGGAATTGTAATGGCATCTTCATAATTTTATGGAGATCAAAACTACATAATTCGGCCCATTTTTTGAAGTAGTGCCGCAGCCCTGTTATTGGACGCCGCAGTGCTGAGCAGAACACCCACAAGGGCTGGCTGAGGTCAAAGTAGCGCTGCGGCGCCGGGCGTAAATTCCCACACTGCATATTCTAGTGTTGCAGTGCTACTGCACAAGGCCTAGGCTCTCTAGTTATGGGTATTTATACTGGAAATAAGTGTCTTGCTTTCTAAGGCCGAAAAACTTCCATTTAGCTCCAAAAATTCTTCCAAAACTGGCCCACGAACTAACTGACGCTATCCTACAAAACACCTGAAAATACGTAAAATAACTACTAAAATTACTCTAAAACTAGCGAAACACTCAATTAGAAGTACTAAATTATAAGCACAAATCCGATGTATCATTACATAAGACCCCTATTGAAGAACAATAATGGTACAGACTAGGTGGACATAGTTTCGAAAGAAAAGGACAAAGCCATTTCCAACAGAGCAGAATTTCGCTGTTCGTTCTGACGTAGACACCACTTAGTCACATGGCAACATTGAAAAAGTGAGACTTATTACTCTATAAACAGAGCCAAAGTTAGGAGAACAGAACAACACTAAACTAACATCTCTCTCCATTTCTCTTTAGCCACTTTCGTATCCTCCCATTTTCCTTCCTTCTCTTTTCTTTCTTTCATTTTCTTTTGCAATCTCTTTGTCTCCCCACTTCTAGAAAAATTGTAGAACAACTGTAAGGCAGAAAATTTGTAAGCTTCCCATAGTGGAATCCCATAATAATTTGTAAGTTTTATTATTATCAATAATAAAGCTTGTGTTTAATGTTTTCAATTTGTGAGTAGTATTCTATATCTGGCTTTATCCACGGTTAACCATGTAACCACCACGATCCTCCTCACTTGGTATCAGCGCCAGAACGAGGTAAGGATGTTGGTATATGGTGAGTAGTGTTCTTTAGACAATATTACTAGTAAATCTGAGATCTACATCCACTTATATATATATATAGAAAACTACTCACAAATTGAAATCATCAAAACAAGATTTATTATTGATAATAATAAATCTTACAAATTGTTCTAGAAATTTTTTTGGGATTCCACTACGAGAAGCTTACAATTGTTCTACTACTTGTTTTACAATGTTTTTTTTTTTTGGAGGTGGGAGACAAAGGGAGAAAGTTACAAAAGAAAAGAAAGAAAAGAGAAAGATGAAAGTGGGAGGCTACAGGAGTGGAGAGAGAAGTGGAGAAGTGGTGTTGTGTTGATGTGTAGATGTGTGGGTATTCTTGTTCCCCCTTTTATAGAGTAAAAAGTTCTACTTGCTGCCATGTGACTAAACAGTAAGATTCCCTTCAAAAGAGTGAACAATAATATTCTTGTTCTGTTGAAGATGCTTTTATTCTTTTCTTCTAAAGCTGGGTTCATCTTGTTTGACTCATTATTTTTCTATAATAGGAATCTTTTAACTTTATTCCTGCTTTAATTTATTCGTCTTATTTTTCTGGATCCAATTAAGCATATTCTGCTTATTGGATTTTAAAAAGTGATCTTCATTACTTTGGGCATAGTCAAAACTGCCTTGCTCAGAGTTTTTCTTTGGACTTTTTTCTTCTTCAGAATCTTCTTCCATTCACGAGAGTATTTCTTTTAGCAAATTCTTGTATTCTTCCTTGTTCTTTGTTGTTACAAGCTAGAGCTAGACAGGCTTTTTTGCTAGAGAAATTTGGAGGATGAAATCTGTTTATCTTGTTCAATCTACCTTTTCAGCAGGATTCTTCTGGATAGGCTTGAGTAGCAATGTATTCCTTCCACCATTTCACCCTAAAAACTCTATACAGAGTAGGGAGTTTTGGTGGGTCTTCAATCAGTCTGAGGTCCCAAACAGCAATCCATGAGCGTTTAATATTGAAAAGAAAGAAAGCAGAATATGAATTCCATTTTCTTTTTCCTCTTGAGATGACTGAAAATTTTACAAGAAAATTTTGAACCATCAAGAACCGGTCGAGGAAGAATATCAAGGACAGGACTATATATATACCACCAGTTACAGAACCAATACAAAAGATCAAAAGTAACTCCTCTTTTGATATAGAAGAGCCATGAGTGTTGACACTTGTAATTTTTATCGAGGAAGGCATATCGCCATGCATCCATATAATCCCAATAATTGTAACTGTGGTGAATTGACAAAGAGAAGCTGAAAATGAAAACTTCTTATTTCATTCATACTTTCATGGTATACACTGCATACATATATATACATCAACTCCAGTAACCCTATCATTAAGTCTGTATCCTATCAAATTAGGAAACTAACAAATTAGGAAACTATCTCTACTTCTAAGGAAATAATCCATCAAACTAATTGCCTAAAATCACCTAGCTGTACACGGCTTTCCAGCCTGTATTCTAGCTATATACAGCTTTTTCCACACTCCCCCTCAAGCTGGTGAATAGGCATTTTCCATTCCCAGATTGGATACAATAGTCTGAAAAACTGAGCTATTCAGTCCTTTGGTAAGGACATCAGCAAGTTGTAGACACATAAGGCATACAAATCAGCCCACTTTCTAACTTCTCCTTAATAAAGTGTCTGTCGATTTCAATGTGTTTGGTCTGGTCATGTTTTACTGAGTTGTGAACTATGCTGATTGCAGATTTGTTATCACAATAAAGTCTCATTGGGCCGTCCCACTTGACATTCAAATCTTCAAGAATAATCTTCAACCAAAGTAGTTCACACACTCCTTGAGCCATGGCTCTGAATTCAGCCTCTGCACTTGATCGAGCTACCACGCTTTGTTTTTTACTTTTCCAAGTTACAAGATTCCCCCCAAGAAAGGTGCAGTATCCTGATGTCGATCTTCTGTCAACAATTGACCCAGCGTAATCGGCATCTGTGTATGCTTCAAGAACTAGCCCTCCATTTCTTTTGAACAAGATACCTTTTCCCGGCGTTCCCTTCAGGTACTGTAGAACTCGATATGCTGCTTGTAGATGAACTTCCTTTGGGCTATGCATAAACTGGCTAATTACACTCACTGCATATGCGATATCTGGTCGTGTGTGAGACAAGTAAATGAGTCTTCTCACCAAATGTTGATACATTTCCCTATTTACTACGACATCTTCCTCTGCTTTCCCAAGTTTTAAATTCAGGTCCATAGGTGTGATCGCTGGTTTGCATGCTGTCTTGCCAGTTTCCTTGAGAAGGTCTGTGACGTACTTCTGTTGAGAAATGAAGATTCCCTGCTTTGAGTGAGCAACCTCAATACCAAGAAAATACTTCAACCTTCCTAATGCTTTAATCTCAAATTCCTTAGCCAAATGTTGACTTAAGACCTGCTTCTCCTTAGAATCATCTCCTGTCAATATTATGTCATCAACATACACTAAAAGAGCTGTAACTCCCCCTAAAGTTGAATACTTAATCAACAGTGTATGATGCCCTTGGCTTTGCCTGTATCCCAAAGTCAGCATAACTCTTGCAAATCTCCCAAACCATGCCCGTGGTGACTGCTTAAGGCCATATAGTGCCTTCTTCAATCTACACACAGTGTGAGTAGTCAAATTCTTCCCATATCCTGTTGGAACCTCCATATAAATCTCCTCCTCTAATTCCCCATGTAGGAAAGCATTTTTGACATCAAACTGCTGCAATTCCCAACCATAATTCGCTGCTAGTGACAACAAAACTCGTATTGTATTCATCTTTGCCACAGGGGCAAATGTCTCCAGATAATCGATCCCATAGGTCTGAGTATACCCCTTTGCTACTAACCGCGCCTTGTATCTCTCAATCGACCCATCTGCTCTATACTTCACAGTATATACCCATTTACAACCCACTGGTCTCTTTCCTTCCGGTAACTTCACCAACTCCCAAGTTTTGTTCTTCTCCAACGCCTCCATTTCCACATTCATAGCTTGTTTCCATTTTTCATTAGCTAAAGC